CGGGCGGTGGCGTGTCCGGGTCGGCGGGTTGCGGCGCAGGCGGGGCTCAGCTCCTCGGCGGGCAGGCTGCAGCGCTGGCGGTTTGCAAAAAACCAGACCCTGGGTTTCTGGTAATTTCAGACGTGTGTTTGAGGCCGTTTGTTTCGATGCGGGCTGTGTTTGCACAGTCCCGCTACCCCTGCGTGTGGCTGCTGGTTTTCTAGCTTTTACGGCACCGAAGAGCTTCCTTGGAAGTCATTTTTTGTTTTGCATTTGTGTCTTCTTTCTCGTTGTGTATCGCGTTCTACAAACCCAGGTAGGACGTGCGGTATAAAAATGAAGACTGTAGGCGCGCCAGACGCTAGCACGTTTTTTTTGAAGTACTTGTAACAGGAAGCAGGATAAAGCTTGGCATAAATCATCTTGACCCGGTGAAACACTACAGAAACTGTTTATTGCACAACCGTGATCAAACAGGGGCTCTTTTTTTAACTCTCCATGTGACGACAAGAGCAAGGCTTGGGTGAAAGAGGTGCCTGCCGAAATATCAGCATCAAACCCAGCGAGGAGCTGCCCTGACGGCCTCGGGCCTGTGCTGGGCACGACCGAGGCGGCGCTGGGCGGCAGCCAGCGGAGCCGCAGCTTGGTAGGAGCGAGCTGCCCGTTAGCAGCTACTGAGCTGAATCCAGGTTCAGGTTTGTTTCCAGCAGCAGCTGTTAAATTTGGAGAGTTTTCATCAGGGGCTCGAGCAAGATGCGGGATGTGTTTTGTTTTTCTTCTTCGTAAATTTAGCAGCTGCGTGCTTGTTTGACTTGGACCGTTTCTGTGTGCTTGGATTCTCAAAAAAACAGGTTGGAGTTACTATATGAACACGCTCGCCTTTCACATAGATTGCGAAAGTGGAGTGCTGTAAAAGCTGAGAAATTGGCATAAAACTCTTGCACAAAAATTGTTTTATAACACAGAATCCTTAATTCAGGTATTTTAAATTAAACCTTAAATGAGAAAAACCTATTACTTTTTTTTCGTGAACGATACTACTGATTTCCTCCCCGCCTCCCCAAGAGTAATACATTAATTTTTTAATACTTTGCATCACTGTGTTTTTGATACATACAGTTTTATCTGCATGAGCCCTTCTGAACCTTTTAAATGGTTCTTAACTGTGCTTTGAAAATGTTAGTGGAAAAGTAATAAATTACTTTGGGCTTGAGTAAGAACTATTCCACATTAAAGTCTGTATTACTTTATATTGACAGGTATTGGGAGTTGAAATGACATAGAAAAGTCTTCAAAGTGCTGACTGCGAAATGAGCTCCTTCCACTTGATGCTGAAAGGAGGTACTGTTTTCAATTGATTTGAATACTGATAAGATTGGTCCTTGAAAGGTGGTTTGCATGCTGTCATTGCCTCCAGTTTGAGGTGAGGTAGAAGTGGGTGGATAGGTAGCTCTTCACCGTACTACAGTCAACCGATGGTGGCCAGTTATGTAGAGCTACAGATATCTTCTTCTTTTTTTTTTTTTTTTTTTTCCTTTTTGCCCTCCTGCTGTGCTTTGGTGAACATTGAGGCAGTACCTGTAGCAAACACTTTGTTCAGATTCAGATTTAAAGTGGTTAATACTTTGTCTCAAAGTTGAACTGGAATTTAGCTTATAAAGGTTTAACTATTGCAGGCTTCTTTGTGAATATTCTTTGATTTCTGTGACTTCATTTTGATTGTAGCTTCAACAGAATGTCTTGGATAATGGGCTTTCCTTAAAGGTATGACTTTTCTGTAGTCCTGCAACTTGCAGGATTGTCTGGAAAGGCGGCGTTTAAGGACTAAAGTTTGTGGTCATCACTTCAGTGTCAGAATACCACAGGAGATAACCAGGTCCCCTTCTAGAGGGTGCTTGTGCATCATTTTGTGTCACTCAGCATTCGTGCATGCCCCTGTAAAATGATCAGCTGCATTTTGTTTATATATTGAGCATGTTAGACAGGAAAGTTGGGACCTCAGAAGAGGTAGACTGGAAACAAGGTATAGTCTGTTAGAAATTTTATCTTGCTTTGCTATCAAGGTTGAACCCTGGTAGGCAGCTAAACAACAAGGAACAAGGCGTGAGCTGTATGAATGAATTGTTGTGGGGGGTTGAATCTTTGGTCCTACTTTGGAGCAAGTGGCGATACACGGGTTTGGTTCTCCACACCCTTCTGCCCCCATTTCAGTTAAACTGTATTGAATTTTTACTTAGAAGGTTAATGCAGTTCTTTTGTATAGGCGTGCCACTAAATTGGGACACTTCACACCTCTGTGCTATTATGTTGTTTTCAGCGATTATAATGAGTTGCCTTTGAACCACAATTTCTGTGTTCCTCTGCATGGCTCAAAGGCTAAGAATCTGTTGGTTGCCTTTGCTGTAATGAGTCCCCCATAGACAGTGATCAATATTGAAAGCTGCTTAAATTAACAGCGACATGCTGATACACAGCTGAGGGGCTGAGATGCTTTCTGTGCTGCTGTCTTGAGCATTTTCTCATTGTGTTGGTCTTTGCAAGGATCTGTCATGTCCATGTATTTATAAATTATTTACAAGTAAAATCTTTTAAAAATTGGAGATAGAAAATTTGGAAAACAGAGATACAGCTATGTGTTTCGCACAGCTTCGTGAAGGACAAGTTTGCTAATTCTGCTGCATGCAGACTTGGGGACCCAATATGTCTCTAAACCTGTTCTTAATGGCATTTAAAGTTGGCAGTGTGCCAAGGCAAGTAAAAGGGCAAGTTCTGTGAAGACAGACATCCTGCAAAGAACAAAAAGTCAGTATCTTAAATTAGGTCCACATGTTTTCTAGTTCTGTTTTCAAGATAGTAATTTTAGAAATTTGAAGGAGTCGTAGTAAGTTGTATTTTAACTATGGGAAGGTAAATATTAGGAAAGTAACTTGGAAATCAAACCTTTTCTTTTTTAGTAGCTCGAACCACAAACATGGTTGGTTGGTGGTGTGGGGTTTTGTTTGTTTCTTGTTGGTGGTGGTTTTTTTCCTTATTTCTTAAAAGACTTCATGTACATTTTTCCTTTAAGCCCAGCAAGCTTTGAGCTGAAACAGTTTTCCAAACTAAGTATGTAGGCAGTGAACTTTTCATCAGTGAAATTTTTTTGTCAGTGAAATTGCCATTCTCTCTACATAAGCCAGATTTTTGAGCTTCTGTGGTTGTATCACAGAGGCATTTCATATTGCTGAGACTGGGATAGAAGACACTACAAGGCCGAAGTTGTTAGGTATGTGACCAAACATCTGCTTTATAAACAAAGTTTGCTGTTTCATATTTGTGGATTTTGGGTGGTGTTTTTCTGTATATTCTGCTTAAGAAAAAGTGTAAAAACCTTGTGTAGTCACTTGAAATTGTACTGACCAGAATAGAAATGGTCCATATACTGTGAGGTATTGCAACTACAAAAGCTAGAGGCTTCTTCCCTTCTTTCCAGAGTTTTTAAGCTTTACTGCTGCAATATTTGAAGGGGGTGTGTGTGTGTGAATTTTGAAAGAATAGGACTTTAAAAAAGTTGAGCTTTAGCATACAATATTAGAAAGACATGCACCCTTGGTACTGGAGACCAGTAATGAGTGCAAAATATAAAGCTTAACCTGTTGGGTTGCTTAGTTATTCTTATCTTGTCCTAAATTTAAGTATTCTTTGTTTCCTTTTAGCGGTTAGATCTGTCCTACGAAGTGGCTGCTTAGGTCTAGTTTTGTGGGTTGCTTGATGCCTGTGTGATGTTATCTTGTTTTTTACAGAAACTTCATTTTCCAAAGGTCTTTGCTAGAATTCTTGGTCAATCTTTACTGCAAGTTTTGTTGTTGCTCTCTTGTTTTAAGTCATCTCTAGTGTAGGCAGAAGGATGCTCTTGCTTTTACATTTAGGATGTCTGTAGAAAATTTGGTTTTGTATGTGTATGCTGCTGTCCAAGTGGTGTGTTTTGTAAAATCCTTTTTTCCCCTTCTCCCTTCCCCTTCTCCACTCTTTACAGGTAAACTGAAACTCCAAGAATGATGATCAGCTCATTGGCAAGTTACAGGAAAACCACATACAAGGCAACTAAATAAAGACTATGGTATGAGTACTTTGTCAAATTAACTGTCCAAAAGAAGTACGTACTTGGAGGCTGTTACATTAAAGTGTTGAACTCTGCTCTGTGTGTCCCTCCCGACTACCCCAACACTTCTGCGTATAAAATGTTTCAAAAGAAGGAGCTGGTGTGGATTATTTACCGCTAAAGTGAACTACATTGGATATAAAAGTAACTCAAGGCCATGTGTGTTTTTCGGGGAATGTCATCTCTTCTTCCAGCCATTTTTAGCTGAGTAGAAGACAAATATTAACTAGGACCTGTGCAATGAATGTTTTGTAATGGACTGCTATGTGGGAAACCAGATTGCTTTAGAGTGAGAGAGAGCAACATGCAAAATAAGTCAGGAACGGAGGAAAGGCAAGACAGCTAAATACAGACCTTAACCTACAAGGAGCTGTCAGAAGGGAAAGGGGTTAAGTGTTTGCCAGGTGGCTGACAGTAGAAGGCTTGGGAAGGGCTCTGGTGACATCTTGCCAAGAAAAAGCAGGTGCATCTGAGAGGGGAGCCGGACTTGGTTAAGATCTAGAGGTTTCATGGAAGCCGCTTGTGGGTAGTGAGGGCAGTGGGTGTCTGTTCAGTCACGTCTTTGATGGAGAAGGCTGCAAATAAGACCTGAGGTGTGAAGTGAAACTACAATTCTTGAACGCTTTGTTTTGTGTCTGACCACAGTAATTCATGTTAGCTGCGGTTTCGACATGTTTGACTTTAGACGCCAGTTTAAGTGCCAGATCACACTGGAGTTGCAGTGTGCTTGTCCTGCAAAGAGCTATGAGTTCATCTGCTCTTAAAAGCAGTGCTGCCTCAACTGTACAAGAACAGTTCAAAGAATGAAACCTCATACATCTCTGTGGTTGTATCTCTCATAAACATGGGGACAGAGGAGTAGCTTAATCAAGCTTGGTTTCTAAACTACGCAGTATATATGCTTATATCACTGTATGCTAGCATAATTTGTCTGTGCTAGAGGGTTGGGGTTTGTTTTTTTTTTTTTGGCTTAACTATGCTGGCAAAATAAAATTACACTTTATGCAAGAGTTATTCCAGTAGAAATTTGGAAAAATTCCAGTAGAAAGCTGAAAACTGAGCAGCCTTCTGTGGAGGCCAACAGTTGCTGTAGTTGAAATCTTCAAAGGCTGGGGCTAAATCACCAAACCCATTTTTTCCCTCCCCAAGATGACTAATGCTTCTCCTGATTTTTTTAAGGAGTAATGCAGGGTGCAGAGGACAGTACAGCTTGAACACTCTTACCACACTAATGGAAAAAAATTCTTCTTTGCAGCAAAAGATGACATCTACGGTTTTGCTCATTGGTTGTCTCATTCTACTGATACCTCTGTTCAGTGCTGGTAGGTTAAATACGTTGCTGAAATTACCATTTTAAAAAAGAAAACCTGTAAGCGATGAGTTGTGTGTATTTAGTAGAAAAGAGTTGCTGAGAGCAAACAGTGGATTTGGGGTTTGTTTTTGCTTCAGTGTATTGAAGATGCCGAATGCCTCTTCTTGGATTGAAGTTGCACTGGGGATGGAATGTACAAATTGACATAAATATTTTTAAATTTAGCCACATAAATTTAGGGTACTGAGGCTTTGATTAGCCTCTCCCCGACTGCTATGAAGAAAGTCCAAAGAGTGGCTTCCTTGACTTAGAGTTAGCTGTTGAGTGCCTTCTTTAAGGGATGTGCTGTAGCTCTAGTCCTGAAAGCAGTAGGGCTCAGTTTCCTTTATAATTAATTAGTAATATTTTTAATGGTAGATCTAATTTTTCAGTGAAGTTTAGGACTACATAAATTAATGATGCTTGCCTTGCTGCTCTTGGCATAAGCAGTCTAATATTAATGTTTCTGAATTAGTTTAAGCTCCATAGGGACCTACTTGGAAATCTTTGTTAGGTGATAGGAAGGTTGTGGGACTGGAAAGATTACTGAAGACTCTTTTATCTTGAAATTGAATACATTAGCTTTGTATTTATACAGTCATTCAGCAAGATTTGTAAAATCAGTTCAGTCAGATGTTTTGCAGTTTCATAGGAATTCAGTGTTGCACATGTAAGCAAAAGTTTGGAAGCTGTATAGCCAAATGGCCTGCTCTGTTTCTGCTAAACTGGTATTCTCCAAGTAGTTTTTGCTTGCAGATTTGGGTTCTTGATGACTTCTTGCAGTATCTGTCCTTCTTTCTCCGGTGTTTTTTTGGCTGATGTTTAAAAAACTGCTTGCTAGGCTGCATGATTATGTCTTGTCAACTTGTTACACAGCTATAATTATAAAAATTCTGTTTATGGTTGCCTTTTATGTGATGTTCAGAATAATGTTCATAATTTAAAGCGCCTTCTGGATAAAGATGACAGAAATTGCAAATGTAGTAAGGAAATAATATATGATAGTCAGGACTTCTTAATCTAGATACTGCGCCTCTCCAAATTTCCTTTGTAGTATGACATGTTGATTCACAGACTTCTTTGTCTGGATCTCATTCCGTACTGTCTTGTGCTTCAGGTCAAAAACTGTCTCCACCTTCCCCCCTCCCTTGCCCCCCTTTTTTTTTTTCCTAATTTGTTTTTGGCCCCACAGTCATAATGGCCAGAGTATGGTGAGGAGCTCTGCACTGCTACTGTTTGCGCCATGCTTTTCATAGATATAGCTACATTAAGAATCTGGTAATTCTGCAAAAGCATTAACATGCTCAGATAACAAGGACACGACAGGTGAGTTGTGCAGCTTGTGTTGTTTGGTGAATCCCATGTATCTTCTTATACCCTGGTTTGCACTGAGGCTATTGGATTTACACGTGCTTGTTGCTGACTGCCTTAATAGAGGGAAGTTGTGGCTTAAGCTTTGTAAAATGTGTGGTTTAGATCCTCAACCAGAAGGTGCTAAACAAACGAAAAATGGTAGCCTTGCAGTGTTTTAATAGTAAATTGTTACAGAAAGTTTATTTTCTAATTCTGTGTAACTTGGAATGGATATTAATACTTCTAAAACATAAAAGTATACAGATTAAAAGCATTGATGAGTGTTTTTCTTTTTTTTTTTTTTAATAGAAAAATGTGTTATTTGTGATTACTTTGTGCTTGTTGGAGAGCCTACAGCTATTAGCTGCCCAATAATTACATTGCCAGTGCTTCACTCTGATTACAATCTGACATGGTATAAAAATGGTAGCGCTACACCAGTAACCACAGAGAGAGATGCCAGGATCCATCAGCGAGAGGGCTTGCTTTGGTTTATTCCTGCAACGCTGGAAGATTCTGGACTTTATGAATGTGATGTAAGGTAAGGAAGGGAGGAGGGAAACAACTGGGTTGCTAATGCTTACAAGTGTGATGATATATTCGTGGAACTTGAGCGTACAGAATTTTTTGGTTTAGGTAGAAAGGTTAGATCAGTTAAAAGCACTGTTCTGACCATGCTTTTTGTTTCTGCGTGCTGCCTTTTTTTTCTTTCTTTTCACATGTAGCATTGCAAAAGTGGTTCATACAGAAGACTCCTTATATTAAGGCATGATAATACTAACAGTGGTCTGTGTGGGTTGTTTGTGTTTTGTTTGTTTTGGATGAAGTGTAAGGTCACAGGGGAAAGTCTTAACTGCTTCAGCTTTTCCTGTGTTGAAATTGCTGTTTGATACTGACAGATCAGAAGAACATTTTGGTTTCTTCATTGGACATGATTAAATGGAAGAAGGATCTAGGAGGAGCAAACTCTGCATGTTATGCAGTATCACCACATGCGGGCTTTCTGGAGAGCTTAGCGACTTTTTGGGAATCCTTTTAAAAATTTACAAATTAAAAGGCAGAAAACCATTCTTATGTTTTATTTTAAAAAGTTACCAAATGTTACTGGTCAAAAATGAGAATGCATGTGAAGAACAAAGCACTGTGCTAGACAGCTTTAGAGACAGAGAAAGTAATGCCTCCCCAGTACTGCTCAAAAGATCTGAGTGCACAGAGAAGAAGGAAAGAGGAATAGATTCTTTTCACCTCTTCGGTACTTTAAAGCTCTTGCCATATTTACAGCTCAGATTAGTGCACTGGACTTCACCACTTTGTGGTGCCACAATGTGACAAGGTGGTCAAATTGTATTTATAATGGCTGAAATTCACTGTGTGCTGAACAGGAAATTCATTTTGGGGAGGCACACAGAAATTGTTTTTTTTCTTCCTGGTCTTGCCACAGCACATTGAGAACAGCCAATGCAGGCTTTTTGGGTGACCCAAAATTTCATAGAATCATAGAATAGTTTGGGTTGGAAGGGACCTCTAAAGGTCATCTAGTCCAGCCCCCCTGCAGTGAGCAGGGACATCTTCAACTCAATCAGGTTGCTCAGAGCCCCATCCAACCTGACCTTGAATGTTTCCAGGGATGGGGCATCTACCCCCATGGGCACTAAAATTTGTTTTAGTAGTGTGCAGTTGTGTGTACTGGTGTGCGTATAGTACACCAGTTATGCTGAAGGGGTTTGGGTTGTGAATGTAGTAACAGTGATTAGCAAAAACTTCCAGTGAGGCACACCTCACAGGACTTTGCACCTTCCTGCTGCGGAGTCGATAACGAAGCTAAAATTGGAAGTTAGAAGAAATGTAATCCTTTCAAAGCTACCCAGTTAAATAATTTTAATCTAGCCTTTCCTGCTATGTTTCTAGTTATTCTAGCCATGAGATGTGTTCCTGTGGGCACCTCACATCCCTGGCTTGCATAATGTTAGCAGGACAAAAAACTTCCTAAAGTTCAGTTGTGTTAACTGTAGGCTACATTTTGTGCATCAGTTGCTTAAAGCTTAATTACAGAACTTGTCAAGGTGCAGTATATAGAAGTTGAAGCCAGGACTGTCAAAACATGCAGTTCACTCTTCTTGAAACTTCTCCTTTAGCATAGCATTGAGAAACGAAGAGTTGAGCAGTGAATTAATAGAGAGTATTCCTTTACTTCTGGCATAGGCTTCTGGTTTCTAGTGCCATCTCTCCTCTGCAGAGCTACTGTACCACATGTTCTTGCGAGCTCTCAGCGTGAAGTGTTTTCACATTTATATTGCACCTTGATATATATGTTATTCAAAAGCTTTGTCTCTCTTCAGCTAAGAGTTACAGCCTATTTTTCTTGATATGTCCCTCCAAGGAGTGCTGAGATGAACCCATCGTCTTCTCCTGTTTGTTTGGCACCGAGGGTGTTCCAGTGCAGATATGTTTTGGGTTACCCTCCGCTACTGTGTGTTAGCAAGGCTGGGTTGGTGCTGTGACAAGCCCTGGCTTCCCCTCCGGTGCTTCCAGAGCAGACTCCACTTCTGCTCACAACACAAAATCAGAGCTTATTCCCATCTGTCTCAGTCTGGAACAGGGGGTGAGGAGCTGAGGGTGGTGTTTAAGAGCTAGGGGGGGAGGTAGCAGGGGTGTTAGAGGCAAGCCTGGTGGAGATGCTGCAGTCCCTCTCCGTAAACTCGCTGGCTTGCTGGAAACAACGTTATTGTTAATGACCTGACTTGTCTGCTGTTCTCATTACAGGAGCCTTAACCACTCTAACAAAAAAACTATAAATTTAACAGTTTTTAAGAACGATAACGGTTTGTGTTTTAACGAAAAAATGAAGTTTGAACAAAAAGTGGTGAGCACAAATACTGGAAAGATTATATGCCCTGATCTAGAACATTTTAAAGATGAAGACAATAATCAACCTGAAGTACACTGGTATAAGGTATTGTGCATGTGTATTTCAGATATACAAGATAGGAAATATTCTATTTAAAATGTGTTATGAAGTAACTGTGAAAAGCAGCTTTTGGAAGGGAAGGGTTTTTTTTCTACAGTTTGAGTAAGGCATCTGCCTTGCTGTGCTATTGGGGAGGTGTAAGGAGGTATGGGAGGCATATTTTAACAAAACAATTGTCCATTTTTGGATTGCAAGCTTTTTCAGAGTGAAAAGCATGTCTTTTGGTTTGTTGATTTGTGAAAATCTAGTTTATCCTTTGATTATTTTATGTAGATAAGAAGTTTTAAAACTTGTGTGTTTCCTTAAATACAAGGCTTTGCATAATTATTTCAGTTTTGCAGAATATTAGGCTTGTCCTATCTGTTGATCATGGTGTGGTATTCTTATGCCTCTTGCTCTGATTCTGCCAAAATACTCTGTAGTCTATGCAAGCTTAGAAACATGTATTTTGTCTGTGTTAAGGTGAAATTCTTAGTAGCTCAACTCTTAATTCTGATGCTGGTATTAAAGTAGCTACATGGGCCTGTACATGTAAAATAACCTTGGTGCTGCACCTATACATCTTCTTTTGAGATTAAGTGATTCTAAACTGCTTATAGGTCAGGGAAGAGAAGGAAGTTTTTCACTGTATTTGCATTGCCACAGAAACGGTAATACACCCAACAGCACGAGGCACTGCTACAGCAGCGCTCATTCATCTCGGTGAAGTAGCAACGCAGGCATGTATTCTCATAAACTCTGCTATGTGTGTAATAACTTTTATTACACCTGAAATAGATAACTGTCACTGCCTTTGTTAAATAGCTTGAACTAAAACACAGCATTTGAACACTTAAAGAATTGGCTGCAGTGATTTTTTTTAAAAAGTGCAAATGCAGCAAGACAGCATCAGGCTTCGTGTTACAGCGTAGTGACGCTTGGATAAGAACCCACATCGTGTCTTTCAGAAACATCAGTATTTGGCAAGTATTTTAATAATCAGTAGAGTTCAGTAACTTATTTAATTATCAGATTATTAGTTCCCTTAAATCAGAGGTACTTTTGATATATTTAGGAGTGTAAGCCTGGATTTCTTGAAGACAAGCGACTTCTTTTGGCAGAGGGTGAAAATTCTGTCTTGATTTACAACGTAACTGTACAAGACAGAGGAAACTACACATGCCGTATGGTATATACATACATGGGAAAACAATATAATGTTTCACGAACCATAAGTCTAGAGGTTAAAGGTGAGTGCATTGAGGTTATTCTCTTCTCTTTTTGGCTCTGCTGTAGATGTTTGTATGCAGGCATAAGCTACTTGGCATGTTACTTTTCAGGTCTGTGAAATTACAGTTGCAAATCTTCTTTAATTAATTTTTTCCTGAATGCTAAAATTAAAATACAATAATGAATGTTGCCACCCTTGAGCATTGCTTCTGAGGAAGAATTATCATAGGAAAATGAGAAATGCGGGGTTAGGAATGAGAATTAGGAGGAGGCAGTGGTTACTGGGGGAGAGGGGGTTGTTTTCACTAGAACAAATAATGCACCATTAAATTAAATAAATTTAAAAAAAAAAAACAGGGATTTTTGCTGAGACCATCACAGCAAAACACCTGCTTGTGGCCCTGTTGGTGAACTTGCTTCCACAGTTCACTAGGATCTCAATTGATGGGAAAGGAGATGTGACAAGCTGCATAAATGCTATAAAGTTGAATCTTCCTCTGGAAAGGATTGGCTTACTGTTAGCACTTGGTTGTGCATTTGCGCATCTGACAGGACACGAAGCCGCCTGTCTCACTCTCCCAGTACTGTCGTTTATTGCTGTGATTGTTGTGATTGCATCTTTGTAGGCAACGTTGCTGATGACCTGACCAGTAACATGATAGTAGTCCTGTCGGAAAAGTTGGCTGGAGGTAGAGTGTCCATCTTTTTAGATTAAATCAAAATTCTGACTTCAGATAGGTAATACCAGAACAGTGGGTTGTTAGCAGTGAGTCTATGTATTGTGCAGAATGATACAATTCCAGCCCAGTTTAAGTGTGTGTTTGTTTACTCTGTTACTTAAATAGCTATTCACCTGGTCTAGGAGGTTGTCGATACAATCCATCTTTCTTTTCCTTATGCATCTCTCTGACAAAGTTAATTGCATTTTTTGGTTTTGTTTTTGTTTTCTCATTTCGTATTACTTTTATATCAACTACTAGTAAATTTGAGATTTTTTTTTTTAACAAGTATTTTTAAAGTAAGCTAAAACCTTTTGTTAACTTGGAAGCTAAAATAGAATGATTTGGATAGAGTACAGCAAATCTCTTGGGATATTTTCTGTTGTAAATTTGAAACTGATAGTAAGTATGGAGCTACAATAGTACCAAACAATAAAACAAAACCATTGTAAAACTATCAGTTGAAGTAAGTTGTGGGACTCCTCTTGCCTGAAGACTTTATTTTTCTCTTTGTTTCTGTTAGAAGGACCACTGCACATGATACCAGAGTTTATTTACCCGAAGAACAATACAATTGAAGTAGAACTTGGTAAGTAGTTACTATTTAAGAAGTCATTAATATTCAGTAAAACAAATAAGCTCCTGGTCTTTCTGAAATAACACGTGAACAGTTCCACTGACTTCAGCAAGAGTGGGAGATAGGCACATGGATTGAGGATATCTGGAAGACAGATGATAGAACATGATTCCCACAAGTAATTTGCAGGGGGAATAACTGTGTACCTAAGATTGGAGTCTCTTGACCAGCAGTGTTGGGTGGGATGCATATTTTTTTTTTATTATTGCCATCTGTCCTTTGTACCACTTCTCAGTGTATATGTCTTGACATAGACAAGTTTGCCGATGACAGCAAGCTGTGTGGTGCAGTCAACACGCTGGAGGGTAGGGATGCCATCCAGAGGAACCTTCACAGGCTGGAAAGGTGGGCCCCTGCGAACCTCATGAAGTTCAACAAGGCCAAGTACAAGGTCCTGCACATGGGTCGAGGCAATCCCAAGCACAAATACAGGCTGGGCAGAGAATGGAGAGAGCACACCCCAGAAGAAGGACTTGGGGGGGTGG